GAAAAGAAACCTGAAGCTACTTCTTATCCACCATTGCACCCCACTCAGGATACTTCATTTCACCCTTCAGGATCTTTCCTTCCCATCTGGTCTCTATATTTTCATTTTCTTTTATGCAAAGGAAAGGGGAGAATTCTGTCTACACTTACTGTCTACCTGGCTGCTCAGATTTATGGTTTTTTCAGGCTACAGACCAGAACCAAAGAAGCCTCTCAGGGTGCAGATTAGACAAACAACATAGTCTACTCTCATAGATGAGGTTCATTGTGTTTAAAGTGCAACACAAAATAAGTCTCCCCATTTGAGATAACCAAGAACACGATTATGAATTCACAGTTTCTTAGCCAAATCTCATACCTGATTCTAAAGCCAACTCTGAATTCTTTCCTAACTTTCTTCATTGGAGACATTTATAGACACTTGATAGGCACGTGTTGGACAGAGCAGATGCCAGTCAATTGACCAGAACACAGAAAGCTCAAGAATGCTACTAGATTTCTTCATGTTTTCAAAACCCACTGATTTTTTATTGGTGTTCCAAAGCATTCATCCAATCTGGAAGACCATATTGTAGTTATAAGAGTACCATAGGTTTACCCTTAAAAGGTATCATTTTCATGCATCGACAGGGGCTACTAATCAATAGTAATCAGTTGCACAGTATTATTTTTTTAAATAACTCCTAATACTCACAAGAGAAAATTATTAAAAACGTAAAAGCAGTAATGCACCTCATCGGGCCACTTTAGCAAAAATGTGTATTGCAGATTTTTTGGGCGGGGGGCAGAATTTTCTTTAAGAGAAAATTATGCATACATGTTTTTTATCATTACTAAAGGTTTTCATGTTGAAAAAATCAGAAATTATCAATACATTGTGAGTATGCACTCAGATATCCAGTTTTATATAATGCTGCATCTTTGAACAAAAATTTATCATTGATGACATTGTTGATGGTGTGTATTTTGTCTGAACTGTAGAATACGACAAGCTAATTATAAAATTCATGGTTGTCTCATCATGTCTTTTAATATTAAATTCTTTGCAATGAGATTTTTTCCATTGTGAATAGCATTTAACACAAAGAAGTACTTCCTCATTTCAATGACTTAGAAGCACACGATTTCAATCAGCCACTACTCTGTATCGGCAGCCATCCTAACAAAGTGTAAAATACTACTCAGCCATAAAAACGAATGAAATAATGTCTTTTGCAACAACTTGGATGGGATTGGAGGCCATTATTCCAAGTGAAAAAATTCAGGAACAGAAAACCAAATACTGCATGTTCTCACTCGTAAGTGGGAGCTCAGCTGTGGGCATGCACGGTCATACAGAGTGTCATAATGGACATTGGAGATTCTGAAAGAGGATGCTGGGAGGGAGATGAGGGAAGAAAAATTACCTATTGGGTACAATTTACACTACTCAGGTGACAGGTTCATTAAAAGCCCAGACTTCACCACTCTACAATTCATTCACGTAACAAAAAGCATTTATATCCTCTGAATCTATGAAACCAAGGAAGGAAGGAAATGAGGGAGGGAGGAAGAAAGGAGAAAGCAGGAAGCCTTCCACTCCAAGCCAGGTCTCCAAATCAACCTTCCTTCAGACACGGTGCCCACCTTCTCCCTTCAGGGACCAAGAAGCCAGTCCTCAGACCTTGTGAGTCTGAGATGTTTTCCCTTCCTCCTTCAAATCTAAATTTAGATGTCACCTTCTCAGAACTGTCTTTCCTTATGGCCCATTCAAATTCGGTCCCTGCAGGCACAGAGCATCCAGGGTAGAAACGTTGCCCAAGGACACCTAGACCACGGTTCTGTGTTGTTCCCTGTTGGGGACATGGCCTCCCAAGTGCAGAGCTAGTTCAATATTTGCCAATTTTCCCTTAAAGGGAAGCTCGGAGAGGGCCAAGATAAGTTTCTATGGAATGGTGATGTATGACCCAAGCATAAAAGGGCAGTCCTTTGTGAGACAAGACTTTCCATTTTGTCTCAATTCTGGAAGGACTCTACCTACACAGAGAGGGTCACCAGCAGCTGGAGGCTACACAAGGACACCAGAGGACTACAGGAAAGCCAGGCAAGGATGTGAAGTGGCTGCTCTGCTTCAGGGAACACCTCACTGCTGTTACATTCTGTGTCTTTAGTTAAAAGTAAATGGCAAATAAGTAGAAGAAAGGCTTTTGAATGTTCTCACCACAAAGAAATGCTAAATGCATGAATCGACGGATACACTACTCTGATTGAATCATCATGCTACATAGATAAGTATCAAAACATCAAATTGTGCATCATAAATGTGTACAATTACAATGTGTCAATTAAAAAAGTAAATTTTGTATTTAAAAAAATACAAAATAAATGTCAAGGTAATGAATATGTAAATTAGCTTGATTTAATCATTCCACATAGTATACATATATCAAACACCAAATTGTACTCCATCAGTGTAATACAATTGATTCATCAATTGAAGATAATATCAATAAAAATTAAAATAAATGAAAATAAATGGATGCTGTAGCCTGGCTTCTGCCTGCTAGTTAGTGACACAACTGATGTGCTAAGGTCTCCCCTGTTATTCTCGCTCATAGCGTCCTGCATTTTCCTTCATTGCACTTAACTCACAATCTTTATGCTGCTGTCTGTATACTCCACAAATGTCATGTTATACGACCATAAATTGAGATTAGGCATAAATTCATACGTACCTCAATGATTGCTTATTATCTGCGTCTATTCCTCTGAGGTGAATTCTGTGAGATCAAGCACTGTGACATCTTTTTTCACCATTGTACCACCAGTGCGGTAGAGTGCCTAACACACAGGAGGTACAAAATAAATACTTTTTTAAAATAAATCAATATAGAGACAGATGAGAAGACTGCTCTATGGCTCTGCAAGGCTGCCAAGCCCCTGGCTGTGGTTTTCTCCATGTCCAAGGCCATGGGAGAATCTCTCTCTGTCACCCAGCAGATTCAACCAATCGGTCCTTTCTTGCCCACCTGACTCTGTAGAGCAGCTACCGCCCCTTGTGGGAGGGGCTGGGGCGAGGGCGGAGCAACTAAGCAGAAAGGGCCTCACTGGCCCAGCACTGCTGCAGACACATGCCAGGACGAATTAGTTCCTAAAATTCCCTAGTTGTTTTCATTGTGTCCTTTACTACCTTGGGTCTCTAAGACTTGCACATACATAATAACAGGTATGTATCACAAAATTATATGAATTATACGTCTTCAAATTATTTGATTAAAAATCCAGTTTAGAAAGCTTATTTCTGGATACTTAGTGCCAATTACCCCCTTTCTAATAAATAACAGTTACAATTCAGGCATTTACTAACAACATTTTATTAATTCACATCATGTTCACATTTCCATTACTTGTTCTTCAAAATGAAATGATCGTTTTACCACAGTCCACATCAATCAACTGATATATTAATCTATACCAAAAGAAACTGCTCAAATGAAAGCAGGATCATCTGAGATGGTGGGAGTCACAGGAATAGCTCAGGCCTTAACTAACTCTCATTATCTTAGCATAAAATGATACTGGTTGTGCACAGCAGAGCCTGGGGAAAGGGAGCCCCACCTGTCTCCTGGTAGCCACCACCCATAAAATCACACCAAAAAAATGCAGTTATGCAGATCTAAAACTAGCCAAGGGTTTGTACACCACAATTCTAATTTAATACTGACCAAGTTTTCTAGTCGATAGGTTATAGATGAAGCGGTTTATAATATATAACCAGAATTTAAAATAAAAATATGTGAAAAGTTCCTTAGATAATATACTTCCTAATTAATAAAAGCTCATGTGACATCACCACACACCAAGATTTTTATTCTTTTTCTGTTCTTTTCTTCTAATCGTTACATTTTTTAAGCCAGCTATAACTATTGCCATACTATCACACCTGTTTTTATTTTTCCACATTGTTTTTAATTTTTGTCCACATGCAAATATGCTTCATAGTTATAATCACAGTGTACTCAATATTCTAAAAATTATATCTTTCACTTAATTATAGGTCTTTACCATTTTCATATTGTGAAATCTTCAAGATTATTTTTTCCTGTCTGCCTAATACCTCCTAATTTCCTTAAGCATAGCCTTACTATTGAACATAGCCATTTCCATTTTTTTTCTGTTATTACATACGATTTTATATAGAATGTTTTTCAGTCTTTTAAATTGTTTCCTTGGAATAGAGAAAATGATGATCAAAACGTGAACATTTTCATAGCTCTTTCTGTGTTAAATGTAATTATTTTACAAAAAGGTTGGATCAATTGATATTGCTCTAATAACTTGTGAGTGTATCAGTTTTACAGAGAGCACACTTTGATTCACTTTTAGCTTTAATTTTTTGCTATAAGAGATATCAGTATCTCATTATTAATTATAAATAGGATTCAACATTATTCTATATGTTTATTAGATAGATTTACATAAATTGTCTATTTACATCCTTAACACATTCTTCTGTTTCCTTCTATTTTTTAAAAGGTGTTTTTAATTGGCTGCTTGAAGTCCTGAAAATAAATCTCTTAACCTGACCTAAATGCAAAAGGCAACAGAAGCAAAATCAGTACAAATGTGCCCTGTCACCTGAGAGAACTTGCCTGTTACCAGGCCACATTAACAGAAGAATGATCCCGTCAAGAGAAATACTGTCTACTTACCCTCATCGGTCTTCAGAGTGAAGTAAGAAAATGCATTACTATGTATTTGAGGGCCATACTTCATTAGGAAGTCATAAATTTTACTTTTAGATCACTAAATAACTTTTTCAACACAGACATTGGTCACTAATGATGAAACAGGTAAAATGTAATTAAGCATGCAATTAAGGAGTGGGGAAAACCTATGCAGCTCAGTAATTGTATGAGCAAACTGATTTATACAACTGTCCAGCACTCACAGAGGAATAAAGGTTACAATAAATTCAGATCTTGCATTTTCCAAAGCATTGGGTGGGGCACTCCCCCCACGTTACTTGACATCACAGAGAAGGGCAACCCCACGGAGCACCCAGTGTTCAGGGGCCTGAGCCGTCCTGAGGTCCACAGCAGCAATGTAATTTAAGTCCGTTCGAACTGGTTTCTTGTAGATGGGGCAGGAGTAAAACCGAGGATCTCTTAAGGCTACAAAAAAAATCACAAAAGAAAGGAACTTGGTGAATTTCTAACTTAAGAGCCCAAAGAGAGTCCAGAGCCAAGCTTGTGCATTCCAAAGGTCATTCCAAAGAGAGATGGGCTTGGCAGAATGGGGGAATTCTTCCCAGATGTGAAGCAGACACTCCCATATGGTGCCATTGGCTATAGCAAGATACCCAGACAGCTTTCAGGGTCCCTCACTGGCCCCCTGCCCAGTGCCCTTGACATAACCTCTGCCCATGTGCTTCCTCCTCTGCTTTCTACCTGTCAACTCCACATCCCCCTCCTCTCATTCTCCTTGCACCAAACCTTGGGCACACACACCCTCTCTTTTTCCTTATGGCTTGGCTTTGGCACAAGTGCCATGTCACTTTTAATCAGACATCAGGCATTACTTCATCATTATTATTCAAAATCTTCAACCCTCTGTCCAAGACATCATCTACTACATACTTTAAACTACAGGATGGAAGGTCCCCAACCCCACCCCCTGCCAAACTGGGTGTTGTGAATTCTCCACGTATGCAGAGAAATAAACATGGCTGGGAAGCAGAGAGTAATGCCATGGTTCAGCTCCCTGAGATTCAATTCTGCCTTTTTGGAGTAGAAGAATAGATGTGGTTTCCACAACTACACATGCAATGAGAGACAACCTGTGCATGCCCATCCTCCAGAGAGCCTCTCTAATACAGCCATCTCTAGCGACGAGCTCACTCTCTCTCTCCAGCCTTGGACACCCCATGCTCAGGGACTGATCCAGGTCTGGGAGGTCTTACACTTACACAGCTCATGGGGGCCTTCTTTAAGAAAAAGAGTAAAAATTTACAAATATGAAATTTGGCTTTGGAAGGAGCCTGTTTGTGAGCAGCCTGAGAGTTTAAGTTTCATCGGTTTCTTGTGAAATCCATGCTGCCCACAGCGGTTTATCTGCACACCTCACAACATCCATCTCAGGAGGCAGAATATTATTTTATATTCTCTTCCAGGTTACACATTTTTTAAAGAGAGAGTTGTGTCCATACCTATCCTTGTACTTTTCTGGAAGACCAATGCAATATGATAAATGACTCTCACATAACTATTGAGGTGAAATCACATTTAACTATGAGAACAACTTTGCTTTCATGAATTAGCGTTACAAACAGGGGCACAGAAACACGGAAACAGTAATTTTTAATGCAATGTTAATATATCATATTCACTGAATTTATTTCCCAAAATTAACTGACTCAATAATTTGGCTCTTTCTAGCAAATTATAAAAATGAAAGCACTATCAGAAATTAAAGTCTCATTATTCAACCCAACAGAACCTTCAACCTACTGTGTCGTGTGTTTTTATAGACTCATGGTAGATTTAATTGGTTTTATTGGAAGAAGTTAAATATTTGAATATGATAATATTATATGTAACTTTCAATATCCAATAAATATTCTAATGCAGTGATTCTCAACCAGGGGTGATTCTACCTATAGGGGACATTTGTCAATATCTGGTGACATTTTTGATTATCACAACTGTGGGCTTCTTACTAGCATCTTACTGGTTAGAGGCCAGGGATGCTGCTAACATCACATAATGTACAGGACCTTCCCCCACAACAATTTTCCAGAATAAAATTGTCAATAGTGCCAAGTCCAAGAAACCCTGTTCTAAAACAACAGTCCTAGATATTTTACAGTATTTTAAAACTCTGTTTGCTTAAACCCATGAAATTAACCATTAGAAACAACCTAAAACAATGTAACGCCTAATTTTTAAGACTGGGTGTAATTTTTTAAATTTCTATGAGGATACCACTAGTAATAATAATTAGTCAAATATATATAAAAATTCTGAACAGGCGAATGACAATAAATAATGGAATGCAGTTAATACTAACTATACTAACAGATACATTTAAACCCTTTAATTCTAGGGTCTGTAAATATGTAGTAAATATATAACTAATTGTTCTTCTTGATGCGAATTTGATTAACAACCATTTTATAATCCTTGAAATAAGCTTTTGATGTCTTACATCTGAACTTAATGATAACTATAATTACACCCTGGGAATTATTTGACTCTTTGGATTTCAAACCCAAAAGAAAAATGGAGGGGAAAAATAGCATTCTATTCAATAAGCAAGTGAAAAATAAAAATAATTCTCTGAAATATTTATCCAATTTTATTTATTTTTAATTGCTTCAGAGCTGAAAGTGCCCATGCCAAGTCACAGCATGCAGCAAACTTCTGCAGCAGGATTAGAAGCCACTGAAAATGTAATTTTATGGTGAAAATGCTGACAGATGCTAAACAACTACATAAACAGATGATTCTAAACCATTCCCGGGCTTATAGAAATAACTTTGAAGACAAAAATAAGCATGCTAGGTAGGTAGAACAAATCAGCCAAGTATGTTTAAAGCCTTAGGGTTCCAGCAAGAGGAACAGAGAAAAGAAGTTGTATAAATTGGTGAGCTATACACTTTAGGATCCTAAATGTTTTAATAAAACACCTTGGGAAATTTCACTTTCTAACCATGTAACTTTCCTATATATCCTACATTTTTCATCAAAATGTTAAAATGTATTCCATATATTCTATACAATATTCAAAATAACCAAGTTACATAGAGAGTCTCTATATAACCTTTAAATCATTCCTTCATTTAACCTCCCTTTTGCTAAGAACATTTAAATTACTTGACAGTTCACTGTCACATACAGCATTTCTTTTAATCATTTAAAAGTCATGAGAGTTAAACATTTTAATAATGGTAGTAATTTAAAAATTATATATTATGTGCTTGACATTGTCAGGTTAATTCTGTCAACAACCCTAAGCAATGGGTACTATTATTGGATTATTTTACAGAGAAGAACACTGGAACATAAGGAAATGAATTATTTGTCCAAGATTATAAAGCTATAGTGACAACTATGAATCAAACCTGGTCAGAACGGATTTACAACCTGTGCGTTTAATCTCCGCAAGATCTGGGAGGCACTGTGCATGTGTACCTCCGTGTCTTTGCAGGAAGATGTGAAAATGAAGTAGAGAGAGTTGGACACCTGTGTTCAATCCGTGGCATATTTGAGACTCTTCCAAAGCCACATGACTAATTACTGAGGTGATGAAGCCAGGAGAACAACCCAAATATCCCAGCCCCCAGCACATAGTCCTTTCTTAGAGAACATGGGGATGAGCCCTTCATCCTGCAGCATGGAGGAGCTGCAGGAGAGCCTGTGTGCATGGGGCAGAGGCTCTCACTGCCCTCCCACTGCTCCCAGTCTACTTTACCAAGTACCTGAGAAAAATTAACTCAGGGCTTCAGTGTGCAAGGGTGCTGTCCTTGTTTTGAGTTTAGTCTTTATTTGCAAGTTTCATTTCAGGTACCAAGAATTTCAGGTACTAAATGCAGTGCTAAGCAGAGCACTAACCACAGGGATTCCCAAAGGTTTGCATACACCCCAAGACAGACAAATGTGATTCTGATACCAGCTTTAGCACTTGGTAGCCAGGAATCATGGGCAAATTACCAATGTCTCTAAACCTTAATTTCCCCATCTGCGAAATGGGGATGATATATTTTAAAGAGTTGTTATAAGGATTAAATAAGTTAATATATGTGAATATCCGGTATAGTATAATGCCTGGGATGTGGTAGATGCCTGCGATGTGTTGCTTGCTATGTTCTCTCTCTCTCTTTCTCTCTCTCTCTCCCCCCACATACTCATGCACACGTGCACACACATGTGCATATACTTACACACCTACCTTTTCACTAAAGCAAATTCCCCAAACTCACATTCCCCATGGCTTTGCCAGAGTTCCAGGTTTACAAGCTGAAAATGGATCAAATGCCGCAGGGCTGAGGGGCTGAGCTCTCTACCGCTGGCCACCGCTTATGGCTCTCCCCACCCCAGGCCCACATCTGCAGTGTCAGATCAGAGTGAGTCACAGGGCGTTCTTAGATACACTTTTTCCTTAGCAGGAAATAGCCCCAATAGCTTCAGGGGCCCTGAGACCTCTCTCACACCCGACTTAGTGATCAGAGGTACATATAAGTCTTGCCTCATCGCCCCCAAATATTCCTATCACGGATTTCCTATCACATCAGCTACAATACTGAAGTTCATTTAGAAGCATCACTCTGCCCACATAACAAATCTGTAAAGAGACACATCCTCCCTATATCTGCCCCTTTCTAGCCTGCTTTAAGAATAAAAGATCTAGAATCTATGTGTGTGGCTTTGCTCTCCTGGTGACTTTAGTACTATCTTGGTGACTTTTCCATGATGCCCAGCAAGAAACATGAATTTAAAAAAACATTTGGGAGCGTACCACTCAATTTTCAGTTAAAATAAATATCTAGACTCCTTCTTTTTGGAAACAAATAAACCAATCCTGTGTCTAAATTTCATTTTTTTTTTTCTTTTCTTTAGACAGAGTCTCACTCTGTTGCCCGGGCTAGAGTCCTGTGTCTAAATTTCAATGATGCATTATTTAAACTGAGAAATGGCCCTTTATATTGATGTAAAACTGTTAACTACAAGCATTCTAATTTAAAAATGCTGCACTTGAAGTGTTTTGGGATCATTTATGATGCTATACCCCTTTATGTCAATTAGAGCTCTAGTCAATTACCAAAAATAAATAAAAATTAAATGTATAGCATGAAAAGAGTAATAGGAATCTTAGTTTTCCATCACTAAAGAAACAACTCTTCAACAACAAAGCTATCTGTCAAAACAAGTTTCCACCAAAAAAAAGAAAGAAAGAACTAAAGTTTTTTTTTTTTTTTGAGACAGTCTCACTCTCTTGCCTGGGGCGAGTGCCGTGGCGTCATCCTAGCTCACAGCAACCTCAAACTCCTGGGCTCAAGCAATCCTACTGTCTCAGCCTCCCGAGTAGCTGGGACTACAGGCATGTGCCACCATGCCCGGCTAATTTTTTCTATATATATTTTTAGCTGTCCAATTAATTCCTTTCTATTTTTTGG